GCAACAAATTATTTTCATTTTTTTTCAATAGATGCATGACATATTTTGGCTGAGAGAGGAATATTCCTTATTCTGATTGAGTAACTTGAATTAAAAAAAAAAAAGGGTTTGCTCAACTCATTGATCTCAAATTCTTCAGCAATTTTTTTTTCCTTAGAAACTCATTTTCTCTAAAGGGTAATCGCTTGTGACAATTATATCTTTGATGTATATGATGAGAATTGGAATTTAATCATTTGTAGAGTATCTAATGAAGAGGGTATGATCTCCTTGGCTATAGTTGTTTCCACTTTTATTCATGGGTTTTGTACATGTGCCAAATAATGCTATTAGAGATTGTTTAAGGAAAGTCTTTTAAAATTTGCAAGCCTTGTTCTTTGTGAAAGAAGTATCAAATCCAAGTGATGAATTCACATAGATTTCTTTTTCAACATCCCATGTAGGAAAATATTCTTTACATCATATTGTTACATGGACCATCCATGATTGGCGTTAAGAAAAATGAAAAAGCATATTATATTCATTTTCACAATAGATGCAAGAGTTTCATGATAGTTAATTTCATAGGATTGAATATATCATTTGGCTGCTAATCTCATTTTCTACCATTCTAGGCTTTCATTTACTCTATATTTTAATGAAATAATCAATTTGTATCCTATCTTTTTCTTCTCAATGGCAGTTCAATAATTTTTCTAATGTGGTTATTTTAGAGTATTCATCTCTTCTCTCATAAAATCTTTCCAATTCTTACATTCAAGTGCCTTAAATAGAGTTTATGATATCATAATAGAATTAAAGCTGATACTTGCAAAGAAAGTTTTTTGTGCAGGAGAAACAAATTACGTATAGGGAAGGGTTGTTTATTATTATTTAATAACACTTTTGAGACTAGAGCTTGTAAGAGATTTTGGCTAGACTTACTCATTTTTATATAGACTTAAAGGGGTAAAATGTCTAGACTTTAAAAGTTTGTGTTGTCGGAATATCAAGAAAAAAGATACATATTTCATCAAACTTATCTTTTAGTTGAGAGTAATCCCTTAAAAGATGAGTTCAATTGAAAAAAATTTGCTTTACATTAATTTACAAGCTCATCAGTTACTATAGATTTGGTAACCCTTTTTATTAATAATTTAATTGAGAATGTCAAAATTTAGAACCATCACTTTTTATTCTTGTTGCAGCATAACGATCATGCTGTCATTCATTATTTCATTTTATATTCCTATACCCATGTTGCTAAATATTGTAGAAAATTATTTCGACAATTGCTTTTCTTAAACAACTCTTTAATTAAATACAATCAAGTTTTTGTGAGCTATCTAAAGAAGTGCAATTAAGGAAGAAATGAATAGTCGTATCTATATAATACATGACAAGTAAAAAGGTAAAAGAGAAAAAAAATGTAAAAAGACAAATAAAATGAAAATGAGGTTTTTCCCATTTTTAAATTTTTTACTTTATGGAAGTGGTGATTATCTTTTAGCTCACAAACTTTTTACTTATGTTTGAAAAAAGTTATTTTTTTAATTCCCGAATATTTACTTGTTGATTTTGTTAAGCTCTCTCTCTTTAAACTAGCATAACTTAATTGCTACAAAACTTTTTGTAATGAGTTCATATAACATCCTAAAACATATAATAACAAGCAATATACTAAACTTATAAATTATTTCAAATATATATCAAAGTCGCTTAACTTTCATATATAGAGGCTTCTGTTTTGGTATATGCAAAATCTTAAAAGCTTATATTTTTATTATATCATGATAGACAATGTGAGCTAATGTGCCTTAAGATAAATAATATTTGTTGAATAATCGTGGGACTCACAAATTAACCAATCTTGATAGGGATCTTTGAGCACACTGATTAAAGGTTTTATTGTTGGATCGATTATCTTATAACCATTATATTACAATACGTGTGCATACTCTTCCTTTTCTAATCTAAAACCCTCATGAATTTTTTTTTTAAATAACTTTGATTTATTTTCATTATAATACTTTCGAAAAAGTTTATATATACTTTTAAACTTCTTATAGAATCCAACAATAAAATTAAATTTTTTTTAACATTTTATTTCTATATGGTATCAAAGTGATGTAGGATTTTCTTTTCTAACATTTATTATCTTTCCTCCTAGGCCAGTTTTTCTTTATATTTATTATGTTTGATTTCTTTAACTTATTTTCAAAGAGTCGGTCATCATGAATGGTGAATGTTAGACCAAGGGAGAACTCTTGGGACTATAAATTTCGTATTATTTGAACAGGAGAAACTATTTAAAAGTCTCAAATTATGAAGACATTTCTGAAAGAATATTCGTCATCTTATAAATCATTCTTCGGAGTCGAATGACTCAAATTTTGTATATTAGGATGACACGTATTACATGATAGTAATATGATTTTGAAATTTTATGATGTTTGAAATCAGTAGAACATATATATTCATCTCTACCGTAAAAGAAGTTTAGTGCCACGTAAAAGAAAGTATTCAAAAAGGAAGAATGTTGTCTTCATCTATGAGATTTCAATAGACAATATAACTTTCATGTTACTAGATACTTTAATGGATTAATGTTTATAGGCTTGAATTAGATTATTAGCAAGATCTCATGATGATGTGATAATGTGATAATTCTCATATAATTTATAGAAGTAGAAAGGGTATTTAAGTTTCAAGTATGACTCAATAACAATTTCGACCATGTTCATGACCAAATATTAAATAAAGAAAATATACTATTGTTAAATGATATTTTTTCCCTCATATAAGTTAAAAATAAATAAATACGATAATGCTCAATATCCCCGCTTCTAAAACATGTATGATAACAACTATTAAGCCTCAAGTTAAAGTACTTACTATTACAGATTATATTCATAAAAAAAAAAAACTTTTTTCAAATATAATCTATGATGCAATTATTACTAGAAGAAAATATAAATTAAAGAAAAATGCTATAAACTCTATTAAAAACCTCCCAGTTATGATGGAAACAAAAGTCACAAAAAAGGCAAATTTGACTTGTAAAATCATAAAGGTTTTGCAAAAGAAATTGACAAATTCAAAAATTATCCAGAACATGCTTTCTAGCTCAAAATAGTATGACTTCTAACTCTTGTATTTTTAGTACCTTAAATAATTCTTCTCATTCTTAGATCCAAGATTAAAAAGTCACAATCTAATTAATCTTTTTCAAATATATAAATCTTCCCCTAATAGTAAAAAAATAAAAGAGGTCGATAGTTTTCTGATAGCTATTACAAGTCAAGAAAATATTTTAATATAAAATTTGAAGCATTCGACTCAGAAAAAAGATTCATAAAATGATGGATCTCCTTTCAGAAAACGTCTTCATAATTTGGGACCATTTCAAATAATTTCTCCTATTCAAATGATATCAAGCTTATAGTCCCTAAACTTCTTGGTCTAACTTTCACCATTTATAATTGTTGATTCTTTGAAGGGAATTGAAGTTAAAGAAATAAGAAATAATGAAGAGAAATAAGAACCTAATTAGGAGGAAAGAAAACAAATATTGGAAGAAGGAAACACTAACATCACTCTAATACTATGTAGAAAAGTAAAAAAAAAAAATTGAATTTTATTATTGGATTATGTATAAAGTTTAAAAGTAAATATAAATTTCTTTGAAATTCTTACAATAAAAATAAGTCAAAGCTATTAAAAAAAGAAAAAAAAAGTTTCCTAGGGGAGACCCATGAAAGAGGGAGAATAGACACATATATTGTAATATAAGAGTCATAAGAGAATCTATCCAACAATAAGAATTTTTAATCCATTTGCTCAAAATCTCTATCAAGATTGATTAACTTATGGGTCTCATGATCATTCAATAAATATTATATATTTTAAGACACTAGTTCATATTGCCTATTATGATTTAATGAAAATAGAAGCTTTTAAAATTTTGGATGCCTTATAATAGAAGCCTCTAGATAGGAAAATTAAAAGAAAATAACTAGAAGGTTTAGTATATTGATTGTTATTATCATTTGAGATTTTATATGAATTCATAACAAGAAGTTTCATAGCAGCTAAATTATGCTAGTTTGAAAAAAACAAATCTTAACGGAGTCAATGAGAAATATATCCAAGAATTTAAAAAATAACTATCAATTTTCAAATATAAGTGAAAAACATATGAGCCAAGAAACAATCACCACTTCCACTCAAGTAAAAAATTCAAAAAAAAAAGAAGAAAACTTAAAAACATTTCATTATATGTCTTTTTACATTTTTTTTCTCAATTACTCTTTTACTTACCATATATTATATAAATATGTTCATTCATTTCTTCCTTAATTGTACTTAGATATCTCACAAAAACTTGACATTTATTTAATTAGAGAGTTGTTTAAGAAAAACAACTGTCAAAATAATTTTCAAGAATATTTAGCAGCATTAGTACATTAATATAAGATAAAGCAATGAATGGCAACATGATTGTTATGTTGCAACAAGAACCAAAAGCGATGATTCTAAATTTTGACATTCATGATTAAATTATCAATAAAAAGGGATATTAAATCTATGATAACCGACGAGCTTGTAAATGTATAAATGCAATTTACATAATAGAAGGGAAGTCAAAAGGACAACTACTTCAGTGACTTAAATAATTCCTTTAGAGTAATGATCAATAAGCAAGAATAATTCCTTTAGAGTAATGACCAATAAGCAATAAGTAAAAAAAATTAAATAGTAAATCACAAGTTTTTGGCAATTACTAATGTTGGTGATTACGGTAGCAAAGCAAAGTAAAATGTAAAAGACCACAACCTAAAATCATTAGAATGAAAAACTTGAGGTGAAAGTTATCCTTTTACACACTCGATAACTCTTCTATTAGGTAACCCCAACAAGCAAAATTAAGCACCTAAATTACAGCTTACATTTATGTCTCCCATTTGAAGAATAGTTTGGCAGCTATTTAATATTCTACTTGATAAAGCTAGATCTATTACCCATATTCAGCTCGAACAGATAACTTTTGCAGCTGATACTTTGAACTTTGGCGCATCGACAGTTGTGACTGGTGACCTCTCAATGGTTTGAGCTTATTTGATTGGAGGCCGCATGTCCCAAAATGCACTCCACCTACTGAAATAATGAAGAGGTGATCTACATATAATTTTAACAATAAACTGATCGAACAAAGAGCTACAAAATTTAGAACTTGTAACAAAACACTTAACAGGTTACTCAATGTAACTGTTATGTCTAACCTTGAAATAAAGCGGAAAAAAAAAAAAGAGCCACTAGAAAAAAACGTTCAGCAGATAGCAACCAAATCCAACATCACAAAACCTTAATTTGCCTGTTTAAGAGAATCTACTCCAAAGCAAACAGGAGTTTAGCTTAGGATTTTAGTGAAATCTGAGAGCTTTTCACTCTAAATTCTCCATTTTCTCTCCCTAATCTTTGTTTTTTCTCTCATCACATGCGTCAGTAAGGTTCCAATTTACCTGTGAGAATTTTTAGATCTAACAATATCTTCCCAAGGACAACAGATTTCTTTCTCCAACAAAATTAAAGTTTTCAAACCTTCCTAGACTTCTGCCATGCTATGATTTGTTTGTGATGACATACCCTGGTTTATGTGACGTGATAGTCCTTAGTTGTTTCGTGATATTTATTACGGGAAAAATGTTTCTTATACTTTTAGAACACATATATCATTCGATTATCCTGAACATAATTTTTTGTAATCCCTCTCTTCAATTCTCAATTCTCAATCTCAAACACTGTCGTTGCTAGATCCCAAGTCCTGGATGAGAAAAGTGGAGGATTGCGTTAGGTAGTCGATAACCAGCGTAAAACTTGTCTAATCATGACATGAATCCTTTAAAAAGTTGTGTTAATGCTAGGGCGTCCCCTAGAAGCAACGCGTTGTATGGCCTGAATACAATGACAAGTGTGCAAGGACCGCTGCACCGGCGCCCGAATCTAGTGTTAAATAGGCAAGAGTTTCCACATCAAGGACGGATGAGGACAAAGAAGCTAGTCCATGAAATTAAAATTAGGATATGAACTTGGAATATAGGCTCCCTTACATGAAAATTAATGAAATTAATAGATATTATGATTCATAGAAAGATAAATATTATGTGCATTCATGAAACTAAATGGGTTGAAGAGAAAACTAAGGAGATTAATAGTTTATGATAAAAAATTTGGTATTCGGGTAGGAGTCGTACTAGAAATGATGTAGGTGTTATTATAGATAAAAGTTTGAAGGATAATGTTATACAAATTAATAGAATTTGAGATAAAATTATAGTTTTAAAGATTGTTGTTGATGCTAAGATTATTAATATTATAAGTATTTATGCTCCTCAAGTAGATTTGAATATAAATTCAAAATTAAAATTTTGGAATAACTTAGAAAAATTAATACAAAAGATACCTCTTGAAGAAAGAGTTTTTATTGGAGGAAATTTAAATGGACATGTTGGTAAAGAGGTATATGATTTTAAAAGCATCCATGGTGGCCATGGGTTTGGAACGACAAATGAAGGTGGTAAGACTATATTAGATTCTTCTTTAACTTATGATTTCTTAATAGCTAATACATTTTTTAAGAAGAGAGATGAACATCTTATCACTTATAAAAATGGAAATAGTAAAATGGAGATTGATTATTCTCTTATAAGAAAATTAGAACGTTTAGATAACAAAGATTGTAAAATTATTCCGAGTGAAAATTTATGTACCAAACATCGATTATTAGTTTTGGACTTTAAGATAAAGAAGCAAAAAATAAAAAATAAAGTAAAACGATTTTCTAAGATTTTATGGGGTCATTTAAAGAATATTAACAAAAGTATTTTTGAGAGTAAAATTTTAGATCTTAAGATTCTGTCTGTGCATGAGGATGCCAATATTATGTGGGAAAAAGTGGCTTGCAACATTAAGAATATTACAAAAGATATGCTTGAAGTTTCGAAGGGAAAAACTCCTAATAGTAAAAATAGTTTGTGGTAGAATCCAAATGTGTAATAAAAGATAAAAAATAAGAAGATTTGTTATAAAAATTGATTTAGATGTAAAAATTCTGATAATTGGGAAAACTATAAAGAGTCTCGTAAGGAATCTAAAAAAGCTACTTGCGATGCAAATAACATAGCTTTTAATGATTTATATAATAGATTAGATACTAAGGAGTGAGAAAGATATACATATAAGTTAGTCAAACAAAGAGATAGGAGTAGTAAGGATTTAGTTCAAGTGAAGTGTATTAAGAGTGAAGATCAAAAAATACTTTTCTTAGAAGATGATATTAAACAAAGGTGGATGAGGTATCTTGCTAAACTTTTTAATGAAAAATGTGAAAATACGATTGATTTTAGTGACTTTATCACCCTAAATGAAAATAAAGATTTTTATTTTTATCGGCGTATAAGCAAAATCAAAGTTAGAGAGGCTTTGGAGAAAATGATGTGTGGAAAAGTTGGACCTGATGATATTCCAATAGAGATGTGGAAATGCTTAGGAGATGAAGGAATTTCTTGGCTTACTAAACTTTTTATTACTATTTTGAAGACTAAAAAGATGTAAGATCAGTGGAGAATAAGTGTGTTAATATTTTTAAGAATGAAGGTGATGCACAGGAGTGTGCGAATTATAGAGAAATTAAGTTAATGTGTCATACTTTAAAACTTTGGGAGCGAGTTATGGAGCATAGGTTGCGGCGTGATACTAATGTTTCTCAAAATCAATTTGGATTCATGCCGGGCAGGTCTATTATGAAAGCCATACATTTATTGAGAGGTTTGATGGACAAATATAGAGAGAACAAGGAGGATCTGCATATGATACTTATTGATTTAGAGAAAGCATATGATAAAGTTTCAAGAGAAGTGCTATAGAGAATTCTTGAAAAGAAAGGAGTTAATAATGCTTATATTCAAATCATTAAAGCTATGTATGCAGAAGCTATTACTTGTGTTCAAGCACAAGATGGTTTGACCAAGTATTTTCCTATTTCGGTTGGATTACATCAAGGATCAGCCTTAAGTCCATATCTTTTTGCTTTAGTCATGGATGTTCTCACTAGACATTTGCAAGAGGATGTACCTTGGTGTATGATTTTTGCTGATGATATTCTTCTTGTTGATAAGACTGTAGAGGTAGTTGAAGGTAAACTTGAATTATGGAGGTCAACTTTAGAGTCTAAAGGTTTTCGCTTGAGTAGATCTAAAACTGAATATATGGAGTGTAATTTTAGTAGCAATAGACCTAGTGAGGGGATTGTGACTTTGGGCGATCAAGTCATTAATTAGAGTACACGTTTTAGATATCTTGGATATATTGTTCAGAGTGATGGTGAAATTGATGGGAATATTATCAGCAGAATTCAAGTTGGATGGTTGAAGTGGAGGAATGCATCGGGCTTATCGTGCGATAGAAAAGTCCCCCTCAAACTTAAGGGAAAATTCTATAAGATGGTGGTGAGACCTGCAATGCTTTATGATGCTGAATGTTGGCCATTAAAAGAGAAACACAATACTAAGTTAAGCGTCGCAGTCTCGCAGAGATGAGGATGCTTAGGTGGATGAGTGGCTTGACCCTTAGATATAGGATACGACATGATCATATACGTGAAAAGGTTGGAGTAGCTCCAGTGGAAGATAAGATTAGAGAGTCGCCCTTAGCTGTTTTGGTCACATTAAACGGAGGCCTTACGATGACCCGATTAGGAAAGTTGAGGTATTAGATTTGACTTTTGTTAAAAAAAGTAAGAGGTAGACCTAAAAAGACTTGGTTATAGAATATTAGAAATGATCTTTCTTTGTTAGATCTAAATAAGAATTTGACTTTTAACCGGACACGATGGCGAAAAAGAATTCATGTACCCGACCCCACTTAGTGGGACAAAGGCTTGATGTTGTTGTTGTTGCCTTTCTTCAATTCTCAATTCAAAAGCTTCTTCATCATCTGCTCAAGGATTTTGCAAATAATGCACTATAGCTATCTATCAGTTTATAATGTCCTTTAACTAAATCTTAGTTCTTAGGCCACATTCACAAAAATTAATGAAAAAATGCTCACTGATACTATAGCGTTGTCAATTAAAAAGAATATTCTATACTTATCCCAGAATTACTGAATATGAAAACTATTATGCAATAGAATACTGGACATAAACTCTGTTGCAAAATGAAATTTCATTAAGCTATTTAAGTTTACCGTGAAAAACTAGAAAAGAGGAAGATTTTAGTAAACATCTTCATTGGAAACGAGCACATGCACACAAGCAGGCACAAATAAGAGAAAATCTTTCGCATGGTAACCTTCGCCTATAGAGTGGCTTAGAATAGCAAACTAATTTTGTTTCTACACAAATGCTAAATAGTAAATTGCATCCAAATGGTATATAACTCCAGAACTAACAAAAAAAAACATTGATGACCCTAAGAGGCTGTTTTGTATCCTCTTTTAGGCAGGATTTAAGCAAGATTTACCTTAAATGTTTTCAAACAGATATTTTGGTACTTTAAATTACATTGTCTTGATAAATCTGTCCATTATTGATTAAATTCAGGATTTGGCAAATCCCACCATTCATAAGAATTAAGAAATATAATGATTTCCCTCCCTCATAAATCTTAATCCAAAAACAAATAGCCAAACACATTATCAGGAAGTAAGCTAGTAGCTCGCCTCGATACATACTAAATCTATATTTAGAAGACCCATTTAAATTAAATCGTACTTATAGCCACAGCCCTTCAAACTTTGCAAAAAATTTTCGAAAGTTTAACAATATAAACTCATCTTCATCACCCCTTTTTGAAGAAAACCAAGCAGCCTCTAACCTGGAACCAACTATTTATCAGAAACAAAGGAGCAATCCACGCACATTTCTAATCGTTTTCCAGAAAAAGGAAACAAAAATATAAGAAACATGTAATGAAATAGAATATAGCGTTTCCGAAGTCGCAGATCAAGCCTACCCGAAATAAAATAGCTAGGTTTCGAAAATAAAAAGAACAAGGTCAAAATAACATGGAGATTGCTAAAACATCACTAACGGTTAGCAGTACATGAGATCGCTCAAAGATCTCGAGGGCCCAAAATATTTCGAGGTCCGATTCTACTTGTAGGATAGTTTGCGATCGACAGAGGAAAAGCTCACCGGCAAATGATAGAATCGCTGAGGAATTCGCCATCGAAACGACGAAATATGGCTCGAAAAAGGGCAGAGAGGACGACAAGCCGAGTGGGGAAGGATGCCACTCACGTTCACGTATCGTGGAGCCCAATTTGCACACTTTTTTGTTTATACATAACACTTAAAATTATTTAAAATGCATATTTAACATTCAAATTATTATATTTACTAATATATCATCCAAACAACATTTCTAAAATTTCAAATACCACTCCGTAACGTTCCGTTAAAACCCCTAACCGACCTTCTTGAGATCTGGTTCCTGTTCTCACACCTTGTTCTTTGACGACCGACTATCGCCTCTTCTTCGCTAGAGTATGTAGTATTACATGTTCCCGTATGTAATATTCTCGTTCTTGCGACAGTATTACTTCCGCCAGCTTTAGCTTCAGCAATAGATCGTTCTCGCGATAGTAAAAAAAGTAACGTTTTACACTGACATTCTAGTTCCCTTGGTTTAATTGTTGTTCTTACTTAGATTTGTCAACTTTAGCTTCTACTAATCAACCATTTTTTCAGTTTCTTCGATGCTGACATCATTTTCCTAATAAAATATGACATTTTGAGCATCTTCGATCTGCAAAGTTTTCTTTATTGCTTGCTTTGGTGACTGCCTCCATGTTTTTTGTGAAAATATATAAATGGTTGTTTTGGCTAACTGCAATTTTTTACATGAAAATGAATTTTTTGTTTATTTTGGCTAACTCATTTTGATTCACTTTTTTCACTTCGTTTAACTTATTAATTATATGCACACACAGAAATGGATTCAAGACCTTTTTGCTTCATTGTCCTCAAATTCAGTGGATATTGGAGTAAGGTGCAGGGTCAGGCTCGAATAAATATGTGGGTGGAAGCCATAAAACTTTAAAGCTTCGGAGAGATGAAATCAATATGTTGTTGCTAAAAGAACGAGTTGAAGCACTTGGTCATTGGTTAAGGGGTCAACCATTCAACTTACACAATCATGTCAATGGAACATCGCATATGAATTACATGCTGGTTTCAAGCGATTCAGATGTAGTTGACATGCTTGAAAGTTCTTGTAAAAGAAATAGAATTGAGGTGGTGGTTGCAGTGAAATATAACGAAAAAGATGTCCCAATAACAATACATTCACACTGAATTTTATCAGTTCAGCTCAGAGATCGGAGAAAATAATGATATTGTAGTAAACGATTTGTGTGATGAGTTCTTTATAACTCAAACTAATGAGGTAAATAGTCTATATGTTGGTTTGCAGTTCGAGGATTCCACCAAAGTTTCAAGCAAGCAGTTAGGTCTAATGTAATTTTTACATAATTATGCTAAAAAGATAAAGGCTAGAGACAAATCCAGAATAATTATTACTTGCACATATAAAGGTTGTCCATGGAGAGTACGTGCCTCATTGTGTCCTGATTGGCACTCATTCAAAGTTAGAAAAATAGATTTAACTCATTTATGTCATTGGGTCCATATAGCTGGAAACAAGCAAGCTACTACTACTTGGTAAGCTCATGAAATCAAAGACATTGTAAAGAAAAATCCTAATATCACACCAAAGGAAATTAGCAATAACATGGAGACAAGTTATGGATTATCCTTTCCATATATGAAACTTTGGCGTTCAAGGATTATATTCTTAAGGCTTTTGAGTTTAAGGTAAAGGGAAGTAATGGGATCCATGGCTTGAGATTAGGGAAAAAGCATACATAACAATGTCTTAGAACTGATGTATCTTACTCTAGTAATTTTTATATTAGAATCTCGTGTACTTGGGAGTAAGAGGAAGCATAAAGGCAATTAAAGGAGATTGATAAGAGGTATATGGGCTATCAACTTTGTAATAGGAAGTAAGAAAATTCAATAGCTGCTTCTTATTAACTAGCATTCTGTAAAGCTTAATATGATTATAATTATCCAACAAGTAATTAAACTAAGTATATTAAAGCCCAACGTATGCAATCCAGAAGATCATTGTCATAAATCATGTTGTTGAGCTCCCAAACTTTGGAGGTGGGAATCGATAGGCCCCTTTTCTTATTAAGATAGCTATATTAATAGTTAATATCGCCCATAACTGCTCAAGGAAAATCATAGGAGGTAATGAGAGTACCAATATCCTTCAAATAAGGCCACAAAGTACTACTTTCAGAGGGAGTGTTAAAGGCATAAACAACAGACAAAGCGAATTTCAATTGAGATCCCACCTCAACAATCCAATGAATCATCAGAGAGCTAATAAAGGAGGGAGAAAAGGAATGCTTGGAGAAGTTCCATTTAATCTAAATGTGAAAGATGGGAATTGTTGCAATTTCCTTCCAAAGGGAAAAGAGAATAAGGGGACTTAAACCAATTGTTAGACTGAAGATGAGAGCTAATGTTTGCTTCAATAATAGAAAGAACCCTATCAAAATTGTGATAACCTCGATCATTCCAGGATGCAAGATTTAGGTTTGTCATTTAGATTTGTCTTTGGGTGGGGGATGATGGATTTTTGGCTTTTAAAGTGTCCTTAAGTTTAGAGATGGAGGCTTAGGAGGCTTGTAGAATTTTATGCAGTTTCACTCTAGTTCTCTGGTGATGCCAAAGAGAAATCCTCCAAACCAAAAATCAGAGCATAAAACTCTTAAGAAGAAGATTTGTAGATGATGTATCATTTTGAGAAGGTGTGTATGAGGATGGTTTTGTCATGTTGGGATAGGAGTCTCCCAAGGTTGCATTTGAAGGCTTGCTAGTAGAGGCATTATGTTGGGATGTAGACGATGAGGAAGGAGGGTTGAATTATTGGTAGAAGGAGGTACAATGTCTGTGATCTCTTGAGGAAGGAGCTTTGTCGTGGAGTTAGGGGTTTATTATAGGAGGTGTTAGTGGGGTTTTAGCTGTGACTTCCCCCTCTTAATTACAAAGCGTTGAGGGACCTACATGTTAAGAGGGTTTGTGGGTTTGTTGGGCATATGGAATGAGGGTGCATAAGGGATCCACAACCCGGTCATGGGAAATCCTGCCCGTTGTATTGAAAACATAGATGATGAACTTTCCTAACAATATTAATACAAACTTCATCTGGTAACTTAGATATTTTGTCAATTTGCATGCACAGTCTAGCGAAAGTTAGCCTAATTTTGTTAGTAGCCTGACTATCTACCGCTAAGCGAGTAACTACCAAGCTAGTGATTTTAGAAATTGTCATTAAGGGTTATGAGAGACCTATTACCTTTGAGAAGCTAGGTTTTCTTAATCACTCCTAAAAGCACTTTGTGATGAGGCTGCCTACCAATAGCATAGCTAACAAGAGACAAATCCCACTCTTTTGCGCCTTCTTCCACCTCAAGATCAAATAAGGGAGCGATGTTGTCAATCGATTTGACAAAGTTGACAAGGAAGGATGAGGATGTAGGGTTTTTGGAGTTGAGGATGCCTTTCCAATTAAGGGAATGAAAAGGTTGGGGATTACCTGTTGAGGTGGAGGGGGGATGGAAGAAGAGCTCTGGTGGGAGTGGAGAGGTGGAAAGTCAGATGAAGGCAAAGCTCCAAAAAGGAACATCTTATGGAGGGAGGGGGGAAAATGTTTATTGAAAGGGCTAGGGAGGGATGATGGAGGTGGAGGAGGGAGATTTCATGGGGCGATGGAAAGAAATTTGGCCTCCGACCTAGTCGGAAGCGGTGGAAGAAGCAGAGAAAGCAAATGGAGGGAGGGGGGAGTGGGAGTTAATTAGAGAAAAAACAAGAAGATATAGAAGTAATATGTAAAAACTTCTATAAATAATTGTCATTACACCAAGGGTCTAAAAAGAAAAAAAAATTATTTGTAATTATTGATATATAAAAGATGCGTCCTTTAATATATCAGAGAACATATTTTAAAATCTTTCATTAATTTTGCATTTTTGTAACAGTTAGTTTACAGAAGAAACTATATTTATTCTTCCACTAGAAAGCAAGCAAGCCATCCGAAGATAATATGCCCTAGATAAGAGAGCAATCTTACACATGAGTTAAAGCAGATAGGGCATGAATTCTCAGACATCCCAAGGGTCGAGTTTTGCTATTGTTTTTTCATGAGGTAACATGTAATTTTCTAGCATTAACATCCTCATGTTATAAAAATCTAGCACATAGCATATTTAGTAGTTTACAATAGCACTTAGTTATAACCACCGTTCTTATTCAGTATGCAAAAGTATTTCAAATATTAAATCTTGTATGCCTCCGAAATAAAGAGATTTTTTTCTCCACCCATTAAGAAAAATAAAGGCTTTATAAATAAAGCTCATGAAAGTCAGATATAAGAAGCCTTTTAGTGGAGATATAGATGTCCAAATAAGTAATAGTAGCATTGTGATGCCCCAGGCCTGGACGGTTCCCAGAACTATTCTCAGGACGATATTTTGAACAGTACAGATCGTCCTGGACGATCTCAATATCGTCCCGGACGATCCTGGGAGGAAAATCCAAGTTAGAGAGGAACAGTAAGGGAACAAGGTCTCACAAGCATTTCCAATAAACAAATTCAAGACATCACAAATCTCCAAAAGATTGGGGATTTACAAAGAGAAGAAAATGGAGCTTTTTGAGGAATTAATATGGAAGCCCAATAAGCTTCCAAATTGAGTCAGAGTAGCTTTAAGAGAGTTAATGTTCAGATAGTTTGCTTTGCCAAAGGCTAACATATCATCCTCATATAGAATGTGAGAGAAATTATAGCTTCCTATTATGATCCCCTAAATAAATATTGTTTCACAATGAGTGGCAAATCCTCCTTAAAGTTTACCAGAAGAAAACATTAGATTTAAAAAGTACTAAATGAGTTAATATCACTGAGTAGCTCAAAAGATGTTAATTTATAGGCATCAACAAATTTAATTAGTAAAAATTCATTCAAAATTCCAAAAAACATCTAAATATGTTACAGTTCATAGGAGTTTTAGGCTTCGTTTGGGTTGACTGTCTTACTGCTTTAAGCAGCAGTTAAAAAACCGTTCCAAACGAGGCTTTAGAGTACGTTTAGAATAGATTTCTCACTAATTAATTTTTCAAACAACAACCACAATTTCATTTTGCTACTATTTTTTCTTTATTTTTTAAAGATTTCAATGCTGAGAAGTTATTGTTTGCCATCAGAATAGTTATCTTGCTTTCACATAGTAATTTCACAACCAATTTTATAAAACACTAAAACTATCCCAAATATACCCTTGCACTTTTAATAAGAAAAACATATCAGCACCAACACCAAAAGTAATATAAAGGCTTTTATTCATAAGATTTTTGTCCCATCAAAACAAGGAATAATTGAGGAACAAAACCAAAGTAGCAGCAATATGAACCTATCACAACTGTGTTTTCTACTATAGTAAAAAAAAACATATTTCCTTCTCAGAAGCAGATAACCAAAACATAACCATTAAGATTGGAAAAAAATTGTTATAGTTTTTTTTTTTTTTTTTTACAACATCCAAAATATTTGATTGGTTCATACATAAATAACAAATGTTACATGTTAATTGACTCCAGTAAAATGTGATTCTTAGTAATCTGGAATGAAATTAGATCAGCAGCTGGATATGTGATCAGACTCCATATCAGAGCAGACATCTGAGCTCTCAAGATGGTGCGCAAAAGATGTGACAAGTCTTCCAGCATCCACAACTCTCAGCCGAGTTCCCTGCTGTCCGACCACCACCGCGGCCACCCTCGAGGCCAGCATGCCGATACCTTTCAAATCCGACACCCCTTTCAAAATTCCATACAGGATACCTGTAACATTTAGAAGAAATTTTCTGAGTTAGATTCTGCAGAGTTTTACTAAGTGATTAGAATCATCTTCAATGGTTAAACAGGAAGAAGTTGAAATGGCTCTGGTCACATAGATTTCAGAGAATCTCTATATATGATACAGAATGTTCGATCCACGAGGAAGAGGGATAAACTGCAAATTGAGTTCACCGAAAACTCTATAAAATGCAAGGTTGAGAAAAAGGAAGAGCAGAATTCACAGAACAAAAGATTTAAGCTTCGTTTGAGACAGCTTTTCTTAAAGTAGTTTTCTAATATAAAAATTAAAAAATTTGTACTAGAAAGTTGCTTTAAGATGCAATAAAAAAGCCGTCCCAATCGTTTGGGACAACTTTTTTATTGCTTTATAAAACAACTTTTTAGTACAAAAATTTCTTGAAGAAGAAATTTTTGTATTAAAAAGCTGTTTTAGAAAGCATTAAGAAAGCCGCCCCAAATGATGCCTTAGTTCATTCTTCATTGATTCCCTAATACTCTCCAAAAAGAGTATCTATAGCATTAAAAGCACTTAATATTTAATTTTCTAAGGAAAAAAAAACATTAAAAGCACTCAAGAACACATTAAACACTTAATATTCACTCATTATCTAAAAACTACTAAGACTCCTTAGAACCTGCAAACTTAATCGAACTAACAATTATACTTGTTAAACCTATCATCAAATATAATATAAAAATTTTATCTTTAAATTCTCCTACTACTATATATGTTATAGAGCAAAGTAATTAAAATCCAGCCTAGTGGTGTAGCCATGGAGAGGCTGGTGGTGGCCCTCATCCCCTATATTTGAGAAAATCTCGTTATAACTACATACAATATGAAGCCACCCCAACTCTCCCAAGTCTCCTACAACTCCAACTCACAACAAATTTGGGGTAACCCCTTAGCCCTATTTCAACTGAAATTTGAAATCCTAGTTCTGCCATTAATTAATCTTCAGATATGTCACCTGAGGATCTACATATGATATTTATTGATTTAGAAAAAGCATATGATAAAGTTCCAAGAGAAGTGCTATGGAGAGTTCTTGAAAAGAAAGGAGTCAATAATGCTTATATTCAAATCATTAAAGATATGTGTGCAGGAGCTATTACTTGTATTCAAACACAAGGTGGATTGTCCAAATATCTCCCTATTTCGGTTGGGTTACATCAAGGATCAGCCTTAAGCCCATATCTTTTTGCTTTAGTCATGGATGTTCTCACTAGACATTTGCAAGAGGATGTACCTTGGTGTATGCTTTTTGCTGATGATATTCTTCTTGTTGATAAGACTAGAGAGGGAGTTGAAGGTAAACTTGAGTTATGGAGGTCAACCTTAGAGTCTAAAGGTTTTCGCTTGAATAGATCTAAAACGGAATATATGGAGTGTAATTTTAGTAGTAATAGACCTACTGAAGGGATTGTGACTTTGGGCGATCAAGTCATTAATAAGAGTACACGTTTTAGATATCTCGGATCTATTGTTCAGAGTGATAGTGAAATAGATAGGGATATTATCAACAGAATTCAAGTTGGATGGTTGAAGTGGAGGAATGCATCGGGCTTGTTATGTGATAGAAATGTACCCCTCAAACTTAAGAGAAAATTCTATAAGATGATGTTGTTGTTGTTGTTGTTGTATATGTCACCTGAGGCATATGCGTCACCAGCTCCGCAGGTGTCAACAGGTACGCATGGTGATGAGGGGATGTAAACAGCTTCACCATTCACACCTATGTAAGATCCATTTGGACCATCTGTAACTGAGACAAAAGGTACAAAATGGCTAAGATATCTTGCAGCTGATATTGGACTATCCTTTGAGGTCAGATTGCAGAGAGACTTTGCTTCATTGGAGTTGCAGAAAACTATATCTACATAATTGCTGATAATTTCCCTGGAAATGAGACAAAACTGGTTTTTCCTTGATTGATCTGAATTGTATTGAACTGAATAGAACTATATAAAGATGGAATGAGGTAAATGTACCAAAAATGTTCGTAGGATCTCTCAATGCAAGAGATGTCCGATGCTGTCACAGCTATAAGTGTTCCATGCTTGCGAGCCTCTTCGCAGGCCTTGGATATAGTGCTGATTGTGTGGGGGAGTTCTAGCAGGTAACCTTCTACAATGAGTATTCTTGTTTTTGAGACAAGGTTTGCCAAGGTGGAGTCATAATCTACAGTTGAAGAGGTTCCCTGGAAACAAAAAGAAAGATCAACAGTGTTTATTATTATAATTAGAGTATCAGATCATATAAACATGGAAATATAAGCTACATGAGATAATTCATTTTGAAACAATCTTCGGAAAACAGAGTAATTAAAAAGCAGCAGGTTTTTATCAAGCTTTTGCAAAATGATATCTCCAATATGGCCCTGGCGAAACCGGAAAGATTCAATCATTACGTCGATGCATGTTAAATGAAAAATCTAGTAATAAAGAAAGTGAAGAATCAGTCGATAATTTGGTCAAATCATTAGTAAAATTGATAAAGTAGAATTGAATTGCACCAGTACTTCATGAAACCAAGCTTTTAAGACTTGGCAGACCCAAGATGAAAATTTCAGTTACATTCAACGGTTTTGGTAGGTTCAATGTTCTATTTTAACACAACTCTCCTTGGCCTATTGGTTGAGAGCTAAGGCTTCCAACTAAGAGGTCAAAGGTTCGAGTCTATGTGTATGCGTCGTGTGTGTGAGTTTGCCTTAAATGACCTGAATGTCCCAAAAAAAAAATGTTCTATTTTAAAGTTAAGTTTCAGTTGTGAATATAAAACATAGAGTTTTTAAAATTCTGCATAGAATAATTTATATATTAATGTAATATGCATTGAAATTCAAAAATAATAAAACTTAAAACTCGTACAAAAACATTACAAAATTTATGCATCTATAAATAATAAAGGCGTTACTTATTAACTTTTGATAGCAGATTTTGATTGAAAACATTACACTATTACTATAAAGACAAAAAGAATCTTACGTTCAGTATAATTTCCGGAGGAATCTAGCAAATTTCTAATACCCAAACCCAATTTTTATGTGTTTAAGAAGGTTTGGAGCCCACAAAAACATAAATTAATATAGTTCCAGGAGCAATTCATAATTAACTCCTCGATCCCAGTTCCTTTGCCATGGAGAAATCTGCTGAGATGGCAAGGCGACAGAGGCGGCAAGGAGAGCAGCCTAATGTTTAAGCCTCAAGACCAAGAAATTGGCATGATTTTTCTTCCAACAGATGGTCCTTGTTTTTGTCATTTCTTCTCACCATTCCCAACTTACCAAGTCCGATTCGAATTCTTGCATGAAAACCTTGAATATGTGACAGGATGTGAGAGGATGGGATTTTGAGAGGGCTGGTTGAATACAATGAAACATATGCAATATGCAAGAGCTTGCGAAACATCAAAGAGAGAGAAGCTAACCTGATATGCAAGCATGGTTCGCTGAGCATCTGGTGTGGTAAGAACAATGACAGTTCCCGTTGTCCCATCTTTGACAGGCTTAGAAAGAAAGTTCACATTCGCCCGCCGTAGTTTTGCCCTACAAGGTTCAAGAAATTAGCTTTGAGAACATACCGTCATATTACGGCCTTGTTTGTTATGGTATTTATTTTCCTTTTCTGTATAGAAATAGTGAAATTATTTTTTTGTGGCTATTTGGATGGGAAACTTTTATAGAAATGCTTTATAGGAAACTTCATTTTTTTTATTGTTTAGAGAAGCTTTTTGATATTTGCTTCTCAGTTAGAAAACTCCATTCTCTTAGTCATTGTTTCTAAAACTACCTTTTATAAAAGGAGAGGAAGAACCAAACTAAGCCATACAATAACTACTGAAACAGGGTATTTAAAGCCTATAAAAAACCTTGGGAGTGTTTTTGCCTATTAACATTTTATAAATGTTTTATGGTAACATACCAATAACTTTTAGCATGAAAAAAAGTAAAGAGGCTTTCAAATTGAATCAATATAAAAAACAGACTTATCTTCTATGTTCAAATAATGTTTCTATATTAAACCATTTTTCCAATACAACTATTTGAAACATTATTGATGTATACGTTCATAGTTAAAGACATTAATTTTGACTACAATCCTCACAAGATTAGGAAAACCAATCAGCTCAAGAAAAGACTCTGATATCCATCAATCTGTAAAAAAAGTTATTGCAGGAAGGCAAACACTATAATTAAAGGATCCATGATACAGTACTATATTTACCACATTGTTGAAGCTTAGAAATTGTTCACGAATCCATATGTGATGCTAACAAAGAGAAATGGTGGCATTGGAGACATTTCGTATGTGGTAATGGATGAATTATTCTATGCGGGCTTCGAACGCCGTGCAGAGCCCAATGAAAATGCGCCACGTCACCCCCTACTCGGTACCATAGCTTGTTACTGCTCGGTATTGGATGATGTGTCTGCAACTTATTGGCCTCTGGACGATAAGCTGTGTCCGATGTCCGCACAAAATAATCTCTCGTGGTAATGGCAGCCAAATAGGAACTATATTTCCTTTAAAAATGCATAAGATTTCTTACCTATAACACACTAGGTGGTGCAACTCTTTACACCTGATCATTCAAATTGTTTGACTTTCAAAACTAAACAATAATATCAAATCTTTATCCCACTACATGAGGTCGGCTACATAAATCATTTTTCTCCAATGTGTCCTATTAAGGATCAAATTCTCATTTAAATCTAATACAAAAATATCATTTCTAATATTTTCTAACCAAGTCTTTTTAAGTATTCCAAAACTAAATAGAAAATATCACTTCAGGAAGTGCCACTTCTTTCAATTAATTGAAATAAAAAAAGTCCTACGGAAAACCTTGTGAAGGATAAAAACTGGAGGCTTATGTTTGCTGATTTCTAAAAACAGAATAACATAGAAATATGCATGGCAATAGAGAATTCCCAGCGACCTAAAAACTGTATATTTCATTATTTTTTCAGGAATTCCAATGAAATACTTTATAAAACATAATTCTTGACAAAAAAAAACTAAATACCTGAAAAATCCACCCAGAGGATCGCTGCCTACACTTCCAGCCATCGCAACATTTAATTGGCGACCACCAATGGAATGGATACCTAGTCTCGCTAATGCCACTAATGTGTTTGAAAGTGAGCCTCCTGCAGCAGCTTTATAACTGCAACCATCCATTGCTCGTAATACTCTCCCTCTTTCTTCATGATTGATAACTTTCCTTGTGCCCTTCTCTATATCTAACTGCTCTAAAAATTGGTCATCTACCATGCCTGAAAAATCCACCTAGAGAAATCCCTCTCCGTGTCAACAAGATTAGGAAGTAAACAAGGTAGATATAGTTAACTTTACTAGGACAAAAAAAAAACGTCCAATAGTGTATGAGAATTTAGCATTAATGTTTAACTTGTGGCTAATTTTCAAAAAACAGAATATTATTTACAATGAACTTGAAAAATGATACAACATAAGGAAACCAAACGAAATATCAAGTTTTATCCTTGAAATTGGGATCCTCTTTATGCCGAGATGTAGGAGCCATAAAAGTTAACTGAAACATGACTCTCTTTGACATGATCTTCTGAATGATTTACAATTGAAGAAATCAAAATCATTGTACGCACAGATAAAAGAGTATAAAATGGCCAATAAAGCAGTAGCACCTAAGTAACATCAAAAGGAATTCACATCAAAATCACTGAATTGCATGGACCAATTCTCTAATTAAATATTAAAAAATTTGCACTTCACATCTAAGATGTAATACAAATCAAACTTTCACTAGACGGTGAGATACAAAAATCACGTCCAAATATTATTTTAAGACATCTCACAATGCCACAAATTTATAGATCATTGGAAGTTCGGCCTCCAACTGAGGAATTAAACGCGTCTATTCAAGCACCCAAACAGCTCAAAAAATATAATAGTCACCTATAAACACTCAGTCTATAAATAGAACGAATTGGCGATAGAGCCAACTCAAATTAATAAAGCATGCTCAAAATCCATAATGAATCGTAACATCAGAGGAGAAAAAAGAAGAAAATACTTCACAGAATTAGTACCATCGCCTGCCCAAGACCAAGGGCATCCCATTTCTCCGGCGAAGTAGAAGCCGTCACAGACTCCTCCACTTCATCTTCCTCTTCGCTCTCTTCCTCGTTCTCGTCACCACTGTTCACGCTTCGAAGCGAAGCGAAATTCGCAACGCAAATACTTTTCTCTCGAAATCCTTCAAGAGACCATTTACTAAGCCAGCTCCTGCGGCTGTGGACCACTGTCAGGCATCCATCGAGGCATCGGAGGTGTTCGACGTGGAGAAAAGTGGAAGAGGAAGATGGAGGGAGAAGAACACGAGGAGAGAAGGTGAAGAAACTAAGGGCCATCGCCGGCGACCGCCGTCAAGCGACGGAGAGGTTCGTCTACATAAAAGGTGAGGCCTAGAATAGGATAATAAGCGGAGAGAGCCGAGCAACTGTTACTCGGCCCGAAGTCATTTACCGAAAATGGCCTTTGGTGGAATAAACTATGATGATCTCTCATCCTTCAAACATCAATGATTTTAGGCTATTATCACTTTGCAATGTGTTATACAAAATAGCGGCTAAAATCATTGCTAATGGAATGAAATTGGTTCTTCCCTTTATTGTTCATGAAAGCCAATCTGATTTTATTGCAAATAGATGCTCTACGGATAACATCATCCTTGCATACGAAATTATTAGAGATTTCAAGGGTTCCAATAAGAAATTTTGTGCTAAGTTGGACATTAAAAAGGCATTTGACTCTGTTTCTAGGGAATTCCTTATTGCTAGATTGCTTCAAAAGAGATTCCCATAAGTTTTTGTGGCTTGGATCAAAGGTTGCATTACTGATGTTTATTTCTCTGTTTGTCTTAATGGTTCTCTTGAGGGCTTCTTTAAATCTACTACTGATCTCCGACAAGGTTGCCCCCTTTCTCCTCTGTTATTCTGCATTATTATGGATGGCTTATCCAATATTCTCACCAACAATTCTGACTCATTCAGCTTTAAAGGTATTAATTGCAAAGACTCTTACATCAATCATTTGATGTATGCTGATGATCTTTTGGTAGTTGAAGATTCTTCTAGAGATAATGTTGTTCATCTTAATAGATGTTTACACTTTTTTGGATCTTTATCTGGCCTCCACATTAATGCCAATAAAAGTGATATTATCTTCTATAAAAGTGATACTGAAAATCAAGTTATTTGTGATGAGCTTGGTATCCAACATGCCAACCATTACCTCACCTATTTGGGTCTCCCCATCTCCCCAAAAAGACTTAAATCTTCTCACTTCCAACCACTACTGAGCAAAATTGTTGCTCTACTTGCTGGTTGGAAAAACAAGTTTCTTTCTTTTGCAGGTAGGGTCTAATTCCTTAAATTTACCATCTCCAACACCATAGCTTACTGGATAAGGGGTTCTATTATACCCAAGGGTTATTGTGCGACTATTAATAAGCTATGTTCGAGATTCTTATTCCACAACAATCTGGTAGATAGAAAGTTGCATCTTATTTCTTGGTCCAAAGTTACCTTACCTAAAGCTGTTGGTGGGCTCGGTATACCTTCTTTAGATGCTCTTTATTTTGGTGTTTGTTGTTCCATTATTGGCAGATTTTATAACTCTCAAAATCTCTTAAGTTGCTGGTACAAAGCCAAATACACCTCCCCTTGGAAACCTCCCTCTCCTACTGCCTCCAAGTTCTGGCATAGAATTTCTAATGCTACCTTTAGGATTAAGGAGGTGATCTCTTTCTCTGTGTCTCTATTAAGTAATTTTTCCTTCTTGTGGGATCCTTGGTACAATGGGAGATCGATTTCTAAGGCTTTTAACTACCAAGGATTTGATGATAAGCAGGTTAGAGATTTCATTATCAATGGCATTTGGCATTTGCCAACCTCTATTCCAACGGTTATGTCTAACTCCATTGTGACTGTGAACTTTACGGAAAAAAATGAGATACTTTGGAATGGTTCTTCTATGTGGAAATTTAAAAACTTTACTGAGCTATTTCATTCTACTATACTTAAGGTAGATTGGCATTCCTCTATCTGGCACAAAAATCATGCGCTCAAATTTGCTTCTTTCACCTGGGTGGTTATGATTGGTAAACTAAAAACTGCTGATAACCTAATTTTTAGAGGGATCCAGGTGCCTATGAACTGCTCTTTGTGCTCGGGTAATATGGAGACTCATTCCCATTTATATTTTGCCTGTGATCTTTCCTTTTATATACTCAAGACTGTTTTACCGGATCTTAATGGCTTTTTGCTTAGACCCAATTTACTTCAGTTATTTGAATTCTATGAGAATTCTGTGATTTATAGTAAAACATAAAAGGATCTTTGTTTCTTGATTATAAGATGTACTATTTATCATATCTGGAGAGAAAGAAACAATCGTCGTTACTCTTCTGTGAGAAACAATGTGCTTAAAAATCATTTGCAATATTAAGGATGCTATCAGATTCAAAGTATCAAAATGGAAAAACAAAAATTTAATACTGCAGAGGTTCCCGGGCATTTAGTTCTATTGGTATACCAGTTGTGCTGGTGGTTTATTTACAGCTTCAAGGCTGCATGTAGTTCTTTTTTGGCTGAATGTGTTCTTTATCTTCGGGATTGTACTTTTTTGGGATTTTGGCCATTTTTTCCTTATGGCCCGATCCAGTATGTTTGTGGATTATCATCATATCATTTCTCGGGTATACTACAAAGACAACAGTTGGCATTGCTAGGGGTTGCTGGACATTCAGACGATGATGACCAAGGCTAGTCTCTTTGAGCCATGGATGGCCTATGGGGCAACCTGGCTCGTTCGTGTGATTTTTCTTTATGCAGGCTGGAGGTGCTGTGATGGCCATTTTCTGATTCAATTCGCATGGGTCTCTCTCGGTTATAATGGGCAACCGATGCTTCAGCCTGGGCATTACGTTCTGGATGATTGGGAGCTGGCCTTATTTCTAAGTCTTCAGATTGTCTTTTTCCCTTTGATGCCATTTGGTTGTTGTCTTTGTGTAAATTTTGATAGTTTTTTCTTGATTAGTTTCATTCCTTCCCACATGTTTATTGTAATTTGAACACTGTTTTTTAATATATGGGCTTCTTGTCCCGGGTTTACAAAAAAAATATATATATATATATTATATTATATACATAATAATATAATATTTTTTTATTATTAAAAATAAAATTCGGTTAGAAATGAATTATTATTTTATATGTTTATTATTGCACTTTGAAGTGTAAAATAAGTATTTTGGTGGCTAACTCCGGCCAAAATCTTGTTCGGCAAAGCCGGAATCTCAATGGCCGGCGACGAGACGGACGTTGAGATCACCGTCAAGACTGTCGGACCAGTGCGACCTTTTCGGATTCGAGTGCCAGCTGAAATTAAGGTATCTGTTACCACACCACGACTCCCTTCTTTGTCATCGGAGATCTTCCATTGGTATCTCATGCAGAAAACCTAGAACATATCCTATGTTGTAATTCTTTACTGATTTTGCTTGTTTAGGTCGGTGATCTGAAAAGATTCGTGGCTGCGGATCGCTGTCTTCCTGTTGAGCGATTGAAGCTGATCCTCCATGGAAAAACCCTTCAAGAAAGGAACAATGGCGGCAGTGAAGATGTGCGCGTTAGATTGCAAAACGGGGGTAAGGTTCGAAATTAAAGGGGCTGTTTGGCTGAAAATTTTAGCTATGATTTGGGCTAAATCTTGCCAAAGAGTTTTTTTAAACTGCGTAAATTTTACTATATTCTTAAGTATTGTTTTCCTTTCGTTTTAGGCTAAATCTTTTGTTTAGTAAATTCCAGGGAAGTAGGATTTAAGAGGTTTACACTACTTTTCCGTGATGCCCTATTTTTCCGCTTCATTTAATCCTAAATCTTCAACATGTCCACTAAACAATTTATTAGTATTTAACTATATTTGACATCTATGATAACAATTAGATTTAAGAAATTAATGCCACTAGGATTTAGTAAATAATGATTTTCAAAATTTACTTAATCTTACTTGAATTAAATCCTAAATATAGCCAAATAACCCCAAGACTTTAAATTCTAATAGCTTTAAAACCTAAAAGACATGTTGGATGTTCAATCCTATTTAATAATAATCAATTTTTTGGTTTCTCATTTTCAGAATTAAATTATAATTGATTGTGAGAGCTAAAATCAAGGAATGGAGGTTGGCACAACCTTTAGGGAGGAGATCAGGAGGATATTGGGAGTTTTAGAACTTCACAAGAGATCTGTAGGGAGATTGGGGGGATTGCATGAAAGAGCTGGAGTTCTAAAATGCGAGGAAGATTGCCTTTTTTTTCCTTTTGACGATGGAGATCTCCCACGCCGAGTGGGGAGACTGCATGTGAAGCCAACTCTGTCTTAAAGAGGAATTGGGATGAGATCAGTGTTGAGAGGGATGAATGAAATGCGAAGAAGCACAAGAGTAATGATAGTGAGTCATGACACACACATGTTGCAAGCATGATTGTTGTCTCTGAAATTTAAGTTAAATCCATGATTTATCAAAAGCATCCTCCATTTCTCACACAAGCACAGTGTTGCCATCTAACATTAGCAGACAAATGGAGCAGCTACCTCTAAAGCATATCTAATGAGAACCTTTAGATCACAACTAACAAAAGCAATCTCATTTATACGCACGTAAAGCACTAGAACACTTATATATATATATATATATCCAAGGCCACAACGATGTGTAAGGAAGAACTTTACATAGAAATGGAATAGTTAGGTACCATGTGTCTCTGCTTTTCCTATATACAATCGTCTTCCTTTCTTGTGTTAGTCCTGCTATTAGGTAAAGTGTAGTCTTCTTACATGATATCAGAGACAATCAACTCATATCCTTGATCCATTCAAATGGCTGCATCCCCCTCATCTCACACTGGTGAGATATCCATGGACACCTTCTCAGAAAATATCATCATTCCCTCCTTGAAGTTTCTCATCTCTAATATCAAAATCATTGTGCCCATGCAATTGTCAAATGACAACTATCCAACATGGAGATCCCAAATCCTGAAGCTCTTTTGTGCTAACTAACTACGCTACTTTCCTCGACCAAAACACAATAGCACCCACTTGTCTTCTCGTCGAGTTTGATTATACCCACGCCTATAATTGATGGACATTGATCAACCAGAACCTCGCCGTAGCCATGTGATCTACTCTCTCAACCAACATTCTTCCCTACATCCTCAATCTCAAGGCATGTGCTGACATTTGGACCATGCTGGAGCATCGTCTGCAAGCCATAAACTACTCCAGAGTAATACAACTCAATAAAAAGTTACATCATATCTCCATGGTTCAACTCACTATGATTTAGTACCTCATAAATACAAAAACTCTGGCAACAACATTGCTGCCGGCAGTTCAACAATAGACAATGAGGACATACTGCTGTACACAGCCAACGGGCGACCTCCATAATATCAGGCGTTCAAAACATCCATCTGGAACAAACTAACACCAATCTGCCTTGAGAACCTCTACTCCATCCTCATCAGTGAAGAAATCAAGATATCAGCTGAATCCGCTAAAGAACCAACAACCCCAAACATTCACACAGCCTTCTACTCGCGGACACTTCACCTCGTTCAACAATCGTGGCCCCTCCTCCTTGCAAACCAATCCAAGAACATTCAACAACCTCAACAAAACAATGACAACAGGTACCACCTGCCAAATTTGTAAGAAAAGAGGTCACACCGCCAACATGTGCTAGCATCATCTCAACACTTAATACCCCACTCCCAACCAATCCCCAACCGCATTGGTTGCCTCCAACAAAAAATCTACCTCAAACTGGATGCTTGACTCAAGAGCCTCGTCTCATCTAACCAACAACATTGACAACATCCTCCAACCAGTATAATACTATGGCACAAACAATGTAGCCATTGGACATGGTTGCTCCCATCCCATTGCTCACTCCGGTCCAGGTCTGCTCTGGAATAGAAGATATTTATTTGTCAAATTGAAAGGAGTGATGAAAGGTGTGCTTGCTGGATTGATCTTTGATGAAAAGACCTAATTATTGTAGGTGCTAGAATTAAATTTTTTCAATAATGTTCATTCTAGGAATGTCTCCGTGTAAAATCAGCTCAAATTAATTCTAAAACCATGATATTGTTTATTAGAAATCCCTCATTATTTAATGGGATTTTAATTTTCAGTTATATGTTTCCTTTCTTTTTTATGTACAACTTCTATAATATCACATGTTGTTTGCACGTAGAATTAAGCGAGATCAATACAATTCCCTTAATTTTTCATAATTATGAAACTTGGTCCACATAATTCATTCTTTTTAATGATATTAGAAGCCTATTTCAATATGAAATAAAATTTTAACCCGTGACATTCAATATTACAATTTATGTAAATAATATATATCAATAAATTAAATAAATTAAAAATAAAATGTCAAAAATCACAGATAAATCCAAAATAATATACAATATAATCTTAATCAATTTTAATTATATTTTCATCATCTTTGAAACCTTTAGCAAGACTTTCTCAATTAATTTACATTAAAATATATTGAGCACACCTTGGATTGACATTTTGCTTGTCCGATCATATATATATAATTTATGTATATGTAATGAAACTTTTAGCAATACTTTCTCAATTAATTTACATTAAAATCTATTGAGCACACCTTGGATTGACATTTTGCTTGTTCGATCTCTGTTGAATTCATCTATTTAAGCACATCGACATTGTCATAGTTACTTGGCATTTAATAGCTTGTATGAAACACTTAGCAAATTATTAGATGACACAACATAAATTTTGTTATCATTATATATATCCTTTGATTTTTTTACGTTTGTGTTTCTTGATGTCCTCCTGATAACATATTTATGTATCTAATACAAAACCATATCTCCTAAAACTAATTAAAGCTAAGTTTTAAATTCGTTGTGCTGCCAATTTGTTACCTATTAAAAGAGCATAGATAAATGAACTTCTTTTGCCAATCTTAAAGATTGTATATTCAGTTGCATATTTTCAAAAGAACAACGTTGAAATATGTAACAAGTTATTATCTCTTGGATTAGTTTATAGAAGCAAGCTGGGAATTTGTGTTGCAATTTTTTTCTTAGCCGAATGCTATATATGAAAATTTCCCTTTTTTTTTCTATAAATTTGCTAGATTATTTCTGTATTCATCTGCTATTTAAGTTGGCGCTAGTTTATTTCTGTATTTTTCTGTTATTTTAAGTTGACGTGAGAAGAAAACTTTTGTCAGATTCACTGATGGTTGCTGTAATGCCTAGACCTCCTGCTAAACATCTCTGTGATGATTATGATGATGATGATGACGACTTGGTAATAACAATTCTTATTTTCGTTGAGTTAATGGAAATTGTTCATAAGAGTAATCTGGTAAAAAGCTATTATTATTATTTTATGTTTTACCATGTACTTTCAGAAGTTCCACATTCCTCAAACGGCAACCTGGTGGAAGAGAAAACTCTTTTATCTCCTACATGAAAGATTGAGATTACCTGGTATACATTGCAATTTTCATTTCCAAATAGATATACCAGTCAGAGCAGATTACCTGACTTGTTTTTTGTTATATCCCATTCTATAGATATGGTGCTGGTCGCAATTTTCTCTATCAGTCTTAAGGCATGGGCTGGTATCGTTCTCTGGTTTTTGTTAGCCCCAGTTGCGCATAGATGGGGTGTTGGGCCTTTATATGTAAGTGTTTCGTTTTTTCATTAAAATATCTAATGCTCTTCTTTGCGCTACACGTAAGAAAATTCAAGGTATAAATTTACGTATTGATTGGCGCTAAAATATCATTCCTTATGCAGATACTTGGGACAGGTTTCTTAGTGATACTTCTGAATCTTGGAAAGAAACCACATGGTGAACTTAGGTAACTTTATCACCTGCCGCATCTTTTTCATGAAGTAGACTTGCTGAACTGCCAAATTATTTTTTTTTTGTCTTAAATTTTCGCATCGAGTTTAAGAAGATGGAATGTCCAACTGAAATGTTTATTTATGATCTGGATTGATTATTTTATCTTGTGATTTTTTTTAGGTTTTCACCTTATTTTTCATATGATTATGGTTTCTTTTAGGAAACAGTGCTTCAACTATTCTTCAAGGATTTCAATTTCTGTAAACGTGAAATTCTTAAAATTTATTCATTAAAGCTTATTGTTCTGAAATTTTGATATTCGTTGTGACATTAGAAATTAATGGCCTTGAAGATCCTGTATAGAAATAGTTAAATTTTCATCATATTCGATGTTTTGATGTTGTTGAGGGCTTCTGTTACGTGAATCTAGTTTGTTGATGTTTATTATCTCCACTATTTATTAATGATGAAATGATTATGGTTTTATCTACTCGTTGTCAAGCCAAAACATGGTTTTTTGCACTAGCTGTGCTGCTATAAGGATTGTTTTTCAACAAAATTACTCTAAACATAATCAAATTTTTTATTTAACTGTTACAGCAAAACTTTCATTGTACTTCTATTCTTTGGATACTTATAGAATCGTGATTCTTGTTGAATTTATACTCTTTTTGTTGTCATATTTATTTTTCATTATTAATTTAATTTTGTTTAATATTTTGAATTTGATTGAACCCAAGGAAGGCTTGCTAGAATTTTATTAGCTCTTATTCATCATGATAACTTTAAGATGATTATAATATTGTTGGACATCACCAAGTGGTATGTCATGTTTTAAACTAATTAAGGTGAAAAGTGAACAATATTTGACTAAGTCTAAAACTAGAATTAGATCTATTGCATGGAACATGAAAACTTCGAACATAAAGATGAATTAGTAGAAATATTTATTAGATGAATAAATATTGCTTGTTTGCAAAATTCTAAATGAAAAGAGAAAAAAAATCTAAAGATATTTGTGGAAGATAATAACTTATTGTATGCTAGAGAAGTTAACTATAGAAATGGGGTAGGGATCATATTGGATAGAGTTGAAAGATAAAACTATTAAGGTGAATAAAATTGGTGATATGGTGATTATTTGGTGATGATATTATAGATGTGATGAGTGCTTATGTTCCTCAAGTTGGACCATAAATCATTTGAAATTTTAATTCTTAGGAAAAGGTGAATGAACTTGAGGAAGAGAATAAAAATTGTTGGTTGCTTAAATGGACATTTAAATTCTAGTAGGGTTGGCTATGAGATGATTCATGGTAGATATTGAATCTGAAAGGAAAATGTGAAATTATTATAATGAAAATTTGAGGAAGAGAATAAAAATTGTTGGTTACTTAAATGGACATTTAAATTCTAGTAGGGTTGGCTATGAGATGATTCATGGTAGATATTGAATCTGAAATGAAAATGTGACTCTAAAAGCTGCACTTGACGTCACAGTAGTATACCATCTTATCATAGCAAACACGTACTTAAGAATAGACCACTTAATTATTTTAGAAAATGGATCTATCAAATCATGAATTCTTTTCTTACTTGGAGAGAAAGAAGTATTATTTTGCAAAGTATAGGGTGGTTTTATGAAAAATCTTGATTACATAATATAAAGTAATCGTTATAAATATATATCTTAGGAATAAGAAATTTGATCAGACGAAATAATTCCCTTAGAATAACATAGTTGAACTTGGAAGCTGGGTCTCTCTTAATCTTTCAAAATATATTGCTAGTGACAAATTATAATTCTTTGGTTCAATTAAATCTAATTGGGATAAGACGACTGATTCTACTAAGAAAATTGATGTAGAAACTCTAGCTAGGAGAGTAGAAATAGATCATTAATTTAATTAGTAAGTAAATTTTGAGTGTTGGTGCACAAAAAATTTAAGGTAAAAAAATGTATCTAAGTGTAATGAAAGATAAATACTATTAAGACTTATAAGTTATAATGCTTCTTAGAAATATCTGAATCTTGCTAAGATAATGGCAAGCAAAACTTATAATATAATTTTTGCTGGTTTATCTAATAAATTAAGTAGAACTGAGGAGAAATAGGAGTTATAAAATGGATATGATAAGAGATAAGAGATCTAAAGTTTTTTTTTTTTTTTTTTTGAAGTTAGATGGATTAGAATTGAATGTAATAAATTTTAATTAATGCTGAAGATATCAAGAAAATATTAAATAGCTCTTTGATAATTATTAAAAATAATGTTTATGGAAGAAATCATTTTGGAAGATCATGTTGGGCAAAATAATGAAATGTTTTGTAGATTTATCCAAAAAGTTGAAGTGGAGTTTGATGAGGACATTGAAGATCAACGGCTACGATCGTGTCTATTTATTTTCATGTATTTTATTTGTTATTTGTACTTTTCCATTTCTACCCTCACTTGACGGCTTTGTTTTATGTTTGCCCCACCCTTGCCCATTAATTCTCTTTTCAATTACATTAATTGCCTCCCATTAAACCCCTAATCCCCCACTAACCGTTGGCACTTCCTTTGGAAATTAATTGGATTTTCAAATTAGCTTCCCCCATTTCTCCTCACTAAAACCCAATTTCAGAAATCTGAAACTGCCATTGTCTGAAGCTTTTCTCTACTACCCGAGCTCCTCCTTGGTATTGGCTTGGTTGGAGGTTTCTGGGTCTTATCAGACTGCTGTCCTAGCCCACCAGGTTGCTTTTTGTACTGCTGATTGGAAGTCTTTGTGTGCTAAAACGGGGGCGGGGGGTTTCAACCATCACCTGCTGCTGTCCACAAGTTCTCAGCTGCTGCCCACAAGTTCCCAGCTGCTGCCCATTCAGTTTGGTGGCCCATTCTTGCTGCCCTGCTGTCCAAGAAATCAATGATCACCTTCCTAAATGTATCCAAGCCTTGACATTGTTGATTGCTCTTCATCCAGTGCCTTGGTGATCAAACCAGAAGCTTCGTATTCTCTGATTATTTGGGTAAACTCTCCCCCAAATCATTAAATCTCTTAGTCACTTTTCAATTATGGTTTATTAATGGATTCATGAAGATCATGTCAATTATTCGCCGCTAGAACCTAGTAATAGGAAGAGTTATGTGAGGGATCTTTCATAGACTAATCTTATTGTTAGTATTGGAATTTATTGTTGGAATGATCCATGTATGCAATGTCGGATTAAGTTGGCTTTCTTTTGAACTTAACTTTTATTCATGTGATTTAACCTAAGCTAAGTGCCACTTAATATTTATCTTATCGTTCAATTCCGCATAAGATCTTGATTATTATTGCCTCTAAATCTAAGCGTGCAAACTTTATTTAAGCAAATCATTTTCGCATGATATTGTTTTACATCATAGTTAGATTTGAAGATGTATTAAATGGTTAAACATTAATTTCAAATGGGATATCTATTGAGATTTGGAGGATTATAGGTATTATGAATTACTGCAACATATACTTGCTAAAGAAAGGATACTTATTGGAGGTAATTTTGTTAGGAAAAAAGTTTCTCAATTCAAAACCAAGTACGAATTATAAAGAGAATATCAAAATTTTTGTGGTTTAACTTTAACTTAAGGAAGCCTATGTCTATAGCCATGTAGAAATAGAATAATACATTGAACTTCAAAGAAAGATACATGAAGGATTATATTTCATATAAAATTGGAGATATTGATAAAGATACCACTTTGGCTAGCTAAAATAAAATATAATCACCTTCGGCAGAGTTGTTGTTGCTTCAATTACTCTCATTCCACCTCTATTATAAGAGTTCAAATGAGAACATTTCTTACTATAATCAAGCACTTATTCTCTTACTAGAACTAAAAATAGCAACACTTTTTCATTAGTTAAAAAGCTGAAGAACTTATCTTATAAGCATCCAAAAAATTTCTTCTTTTTTTCTAGCATGCACACCTCCCCACTCTTTTTTTTTTTTTTTTCTCTATTGTCTCTTTGTTTCCTCTTGTTGTTGGATATATGAAACCTTTGATTTATTTTTCTTTTTATAATTATATTATAAGATGGTAGGTTTTAAAGATGAATGTGAATATAGCTTGAGTTAGATAGCCAACATTTTAGAAAAATAAGCTTAAATAGATCTGGAGTTAGTAGCCACTAATCTTGAAAATCAAGTATGAATATATCTTAACTTTGGTAGCATTTAATCTTAAAAATCAAAATTGATCTTACCCAAGATGATTAAAAAATTTTAGATACCACACTAACAGATTTAAATATGCATATAAGTTTTAGTAGGATGGCCTATAAAAGGATTCACGACGGTCATGAATAAAAGATCTAAATATAATAAGAGGACATATAATTGATTTTGGTACAACTAATGATCTTGAATAGTGAATGCATACTTTAAGAAACAAGGGTTACTAACAAAATTGGAGTTACCAAATTATAAATAGATTTTTTCTTATTTAAGGAAAGAAAAATTGGAGTTACCAAATTATAAATAGATTTTTTCTTATTTAAGGGAGAGGGCTAAGTAGGTTAAGTTGAATATAGAGATCTTAATCATTGTTAATACTCTTTTTCAGTTGCTTCTAACTGCAACTACAATTGGCCTAAGACTCTGAACATTGTTATTTATACACATATATACGTTAGTTGAAAAACTTGTTTTTATAACCTATTTGGGTTCAATATACATTTGATGATTATACCACCTGTTTTTGTCCATTATTCTTTTTCTTATGATTCGAAATGGCTGGATAAATCAATTCGGAAATAACAAAATCTGTTTTATGTGTTTCCATGGAGAAATTATTGAATAGAAAACAATACAATAAAGTTGAATGTGAACCATGTCAGTCTTGTTGATTCTCTTTGCACATACTTTTATTGAAGAGATTTATTGATGGGGACATCAGAGCATGAATCATATATCAAAGGTGTGGCCATCGATCTATGGCCACGATCGTGCGATATAGTTTTGAGTTATTTCATGTATTTTTTTATTATGATTATTTGTTATTTATGTTGCATTTGTTTTTCCCGTTTAACCCTTGCTTAAGGGAAGTCGTATGTAAGCCCTAAGGGCATAGTCATCTTTCTTATTTTGAGTCTTATGTATGAGGCTATTTATAGCCCTCATGTTCTTCTTCTAAAATTAATGAATGAATGATTGATTAAAATTTCTTCCTTGCATGAGTTTTTATGAGAGTTTGAGAGATGAATCCCTAGGAGAGAGAAAACGGATCACCCC